AATAATAAAATAATAATAAAAAAATAAATAATAAAATAAAATATTATTATTATTACAATAAATAATAAAATATAATAATAATAAATATGATAAAATAATAATATTATTATTATTATTATTATTATTATTATTATTATTATTGAAGCAAAGTAATTAAAGTGGATTCATTCTATATCATTCTATGCACCCCAATGTTTTCTTTTCTGTTGAGGGAAGCTTTGGTGTTCCAAGCAAGCTGCCTAATTCCAAAGAGCGCACTTTTTGCTGCTCTTCGTTGACACTTGGCAGTAAATATTTATGTTTTGTTTCCGGGTTTTGCAAATGGAGTTCTGCATTAGTTTCAATGGCGCACGAGAGGGGAGCCAATAGGGCGCTCCTTGCAGCTACCTGCCCCGTGAAGTCCAGGGTGGCCCGAGCGCTGGCGCTGTTTGGCGGGATGTGGTCCAAGTGCAGGACGTCCTCGGGGGGCACGGCCGGGATCCTGCAGCCTGCAACACAAAAGCAAGAGGCCGAGGAAGCCCGTCGTGCCACTAGAAGCAGGGCTACAGGAAAGGTCCCTCCCAAGAGGGCAAATGGGGGGCTCCTCACCAGCGTTGGGGGGCTTGAGGGGCAGCGGGGCGGCCGTGGCGGGCTTCCAGGTCTCCAGGCGCGCCTTCCTGTGGCGGGGGATGAACCTCGGCTGCAAAAGAGGGGGCAAAAAGAGAGGCCGAGTACTAAAACTAAATATGCTAACAATATAATATTAATGATAATAATAATGCAATATTATAATTATATACTTTATAGTACATATAATATTACTAATAATATTACAATATAATGGTATAGAACAACGTATAATAATGATATTGTGCTTACTTACTTAGGTGATGCCTCGTAGTCCAAGGATGACGGTCCTCCAAGTGTAGTATCCTGGGGGTGGGTCCGTAGGTGACTGTGGACCCCTATTTTTGATCTGCATCTTCTCCCACAGTGAGGGCATCGGTTTCCAGGTGGAAGGCCTTCCTCTTCACACGTTTCTCTCTTTCGCCCTCCACTCGTGCCTCTTCAAATTCTGCAGCACTGCTGGTCACAGCTGACCTCCAACTGGAGTGCTCAAGGGCCAGGGCTTCCTAGTTCTCAGTGTTTATGCCTGAGTTTTTAAGGCTGGCTTTGAGCCCATCTTTCAATCTCTTTTCCTGTCCTCCAACATTCCGTTTTCCGTTCTTGAGTTCGGAGTAGAGCAACTGCTTTGGGCATTTTGGGACAATGTGGCATTCAGTCCAGCGGAGTTGATGGCAGAGGACCATCGCTTCAGTGCTGGTGGTCTTTGCTTCTTCCAGCACACTGACGTTTGTCCACCTGTCTTCCCAAGAGATTTGCAGAATTTTTCAGAGGCAGCACTGATGGAATCGTTCCAGGAGTTGCATGTGACATCTGTAGACAGTCCACGTTTCGCAGGCGTATAGCAGGGTTGGGAGGACAATGGCTTTGTCCCGGTCCTCAAACACTCTCTGCTTCATTTGGAAAAATGCTGAACTCGTAGAGCTCAGGCAGTGTTGACGTCTGTAGACAGTCCACATCTCGCAGGCATATAGAAGGGTTGGGAGGACAATGGCTTTGTAAACAAGCCCCTTGGTCTCCCTATGGATGTTCCGGTCCTCAAACACTCTCTGCTTCATTTGGAAAAATGCTGCACTCGCAGAGCTCAGGCGGTGTTGTATTTCGGTGTTGACGTCTGTAGACAGTCCACATCTCGCAGGCATATAGAAGGATTGGGAGGACAATGGCTTTATAAACAAGCTCCTTGGTCTCCCTATGATATCCCAATCCTCAAACACTCTCTGCTTCATTCGGGAAAATGCTGCACTCGCAGAGCTCAGGCGGTGTTGTATTTCGGTGTTGACGTCTGTAGACAGTCCACATCTCGCAGGCATATAGAAGGATTGGGAGGACAATGGCTTTATAAACAAGCTCCTTGGTCTCCCTATGATATCCCAATCCTCAAACACTCTCTGCTTCATTCGGGAAAATGCTGCACTCGCAGAGCTCAGGCGGTGTTGTATTTCAGTGTCAATGTTGACGTCTGTAGACAGTCCACATCTCGCAGGCATATAGCAGGCTTGGGAGGACAATAGCTTTATAAACAATTGAATTTCAGTGTCAATGTTGACGATCCTCAAACACTCTCTGCTTCATTCGGGAAAATGCTGCACTCGCAGAGCTCAGGCGGTGTTGTATTTCGGTGTTGACGTCTGTAGACAGTCCACATCTCGCAGGCATATAGAAGGATTGGGAGGACAATGGCTTTATAAACAAGCTCCTTGGTCTCCCTATGATATCCCAATCCTCAAACACTCTCTGCTTCATTCGGGAAAATGCTGCACTCGCAGAGCTCAGGCAGTGTTGTATTTCGGTGTCGATGTTGACGTCTGTAGACAGCCCATGTCTCGCAGGCATATAACAGGGTTGGGAGGGGAATGGCTTTATAAACAAGCCCCTTGGTCTCCCTACGGATGTCCCGGTCCTCAAACACTCTCTGCCTCATTTGAAAAAATGCTGCACTCGCAGAGCTCAGGTGGTGATGTATTTCAGTGTCAATGTTGACTTTTGTGGAAAGGTGGCTGCCAAGGGAGTGGAAATGGTCAATGTTTTCTAATGTTACACCATTAAGTTTTGTTTTTATTAGGAAGCGCAAAGGATGCATGCTTTTAGTATTCCTGTTATGTTTTTATATTATGTGTTAATGTTTCTAAATGTTTTATGTTGTTTTTGGGCATTGAATCATTGCCATTTGTAAACAGCCCTGAGTTGTGTAAGGGCTGAGAAGGGCGGTATACAGACATAGTAAATAAACAAACAAACAAATAAATATTTCTGGCATATGGGGAGGGGAAGTGCTGGAAGAGCACTTTGGTTTTCTCAATGTTTAATGACAGGCCAAGCTTCTTGTATGCTTCTACAAAGGTGTTTAGAGTGGCTTGTAGGTCTTCTGAATGTGCACAGATGACATTGTCATCAGCATACTGGAGTTCTATAACAGATGTTGTTGTGACCTTTGTTTTGGCGCATCTTGGTTTTCTTGATGTTCAATGACAGGCCAAGCTTCTCGTATGCTTCTGCAAAGGTGTTTAGAGTGGCTTGTAGTTCTTCTTCTGAATGCGCACAGACGACGTTGTCACCAGCATACTGGAGTTCTATAAAAGATGTTGTTGTGACCTTGGTTTTGGCACACTTTGGTTTTCTTGATGTTCAATGACAGGCCGAGCTTCTCGTATGCTTCTGCAAAGGTGTTTAGAGTGGCTTGTAGTTCTTCTTCTGAATGCGCACAGACGACATTGTCATCAGCATACTGGAGTTCTATAACAGATGTTGTTGTGACCTTGGTTTTGGAGCACTTTGGTTTTCTCGATGTTCAATGACAGGCCGAGCTTCTTGTATGCTTCTGTGAAGGTGTTCAGAGTGGCTTGTAGGTCTTCTTCTGAATGTGCACAGATGACATTGTCATCAGCATACTGGAGTTCTATAACAGATGTTGTTGTGACCTTGGTAAGAGAACTTTGGTTTTCTCGATGTTCAATGACAGGCCCAGCTTCTCGTATGCTTCTGCAAAGGTGTTTAGAGTGGCTTGTAAGTCTTCTTCTGAATGCGCACAGACGTTGTCATCAGCATACTGGAGTTCTATAAAAGATGTTGTTGTGACCTTGGTTTTGGCACACTTTGGTTTTCTGGATGTTCAATGACAGGCCGAGCTTCTCATATGCTTCTGCGAAAGTGTTTAGAGTGGCTTGAAGATCTTCTTCTGAATGTGCACAGATGACGTTGTCATCAGCATACTGGAGTTCTATAACAGATGTTGTTGTGACCTTGGTTTTGGCGCACTTTGGTTTTCTCGATCTTCAATGAGAGGCTGAGTTTCTCGTCTGCTTCTGCGAAGGTGTTTAGTAGTTCTTCTTCTGAATGCGCACAGACGACATTGTCATCGGCATACTGGAGTTCTAGAACAGATGTTGTTGTGACCTTGGTTTTGGCGCACCTTGGTTTTCTTGATATTCAGTGACAGGCCAAGCTTCTCGTATGCTTCTGCGAAGGTGTATAGAGTGGCTTGTAGTTCTTCTGAATGTGCACAGATGACATTGTCATCAGCATACTGGAGTTCTATAACAGATGTTGTTGTGACCTTGGTTTTGGCACACTTTGGTTTTCTCGATGTTCAATGACAGGCCGAGCTTCTCATATGCTTTTGAAAAGATGTTTAGAGTGGCTTGTAGTTCTTCTTCTGAATGCGAACAGATGACATTGTCATCAGCATACTGGATTTCTATAACAGATGTTGTTGCGATCTTGGTTTTGGCGCACTTTGGTTTTCTGGATGTTCAATGACAGGCCGAGCTTCTCGTCTGCTTCTGCAAAGGTGTTTAGAGTGGCTTGTAGTACTTCTTCTGAATGCGCATAGATGACGTTGTCATCAGCATACTGGAGTTCTATAACAGATGTTGTTGTAACCTTGGTTTTGGCTTTCAGTCTGCTGAGGTTAAACAGCTTGCCATCTGTTATATGTATTGTATTGTATGTATGTATGTATGTATGTATACAAAAATAAATAAATAGTTGAAGCCATAACAACAACAACAACAACAACAACAACAACAACCACAACAACCACAACAACAATTCTAAATGGAAAGGGAAGGCCTTGGTGGGTTGCTTCTCCCATCTCAGCCTTGTGCCCCTGTTAATAATAATGATAATAGCAAGGATAATAATTGGCCTCACTTCCTCCTCCACTTCCTCTTCCTCTTCCTCTTCCTGCTCCCTCTGCACTTGCCCATAGGAGCCCCAGCCAGACGCCAAGGAGGAGGGCCGGGTGACAGCGCGGTGGGGCGGCCCCGCCAGGAAGAGCCCCGGGAAGAGCCTCTCCGGAAAGGAAGCCGCCTCCGCCATGCTTGCTTCCTTGCTGGGGAAGAAAGAGGCGGACGCGGGCCTCGAACTCGTGGCTCGCAGGAGGAAGAGGAGCAACTGCGCATGCGCCCCTTCCAGAAGCCCTCTGCACGCTCCTCCTAGCGGCCGGTAAGCCCCGGAGTTGAAACACCGCCTATCGCCACGCCCCCTCTTCCTGATTGGGTGGACCACGCGGAGGCGGGGCTTGGCGGACAGTCAGTCATCCTGAGTCGCCTGCGGGCCTATCGCCACGCCCCCTCTTCCTGATTGGGTGGACCACGCGGAGGCGGAGCTTAGGAGACAGTCAGTCATCCTGAGTCGCCTGCGGGCCTATCGCCACGCCCCCTCTTCCTGATTGGGTGGACCACGCGGAGGCGGAGCTTAGGAGACAGTCAGTCATCCTGAGTCGCCTGCGGGCCTATCGCCACGCCCCCTCTTCCTGATTGGGTGGACCACGCGGAGGCGGGGCTTAGGAGACAGTCAGTCATCCTGAGTCGCCTGCGGGCCTATCGCCACGCCCCCTCTTCCTGATTGGGTGGACCACGCGGAGGCGGGGCTTAGGAGACAGTCAGTCATCCTGAGTCGCCTGCGGGCCTATCGCCACGCCCCCTCTTCCTGATTGGGTGGACCACGCGGAGGCGGGGCTTAGGACAGTCAGTCATCCTGAGTCGCCTGCGGGCCTATCGCCACGCCCCCTCTGCCTGATTGGGTGGACAACAGGGAGGCGGGGCTTGGCGGACAGTCAGTCATCCTGGGCAGGATATAATATAATATTATAATATAATATAATATAATATAATATAATATAATATAATATAATATAATTACATAATATATAATTAATAATATAATATATAATTATAATATAAAATATAATATATGTATATAAAATAATATAATATAATATAAAAATATAATAATATAATATATAATATAATAATATAATATATAAATATAATATATATAATATATACATAATATAATATAATATAATAATATATAAAATAATATAATATATAATAATATATAATATATATATAATTATAATATAATATAAAATATAATTAATAATAATATAATAAAATATATATAATATAATAATTATATAAATCTAATATATAAAAATATATAATAAATAATATAATATAAATATATAATTAATATAATATAATAAATAAATACAATATATAATATAATATAATATAATATAATAATATTATGTACAATATAATATAATATATTGTATTATATTATATTGATATAATATATATTATATATTATATATATATTATATATTGTATTATATTGGATGCAATATATTGTATGCAATATAATATATTATATGTAATGTAATATAATGATAAATAAATGGAAGCGCATTTTTGGAGAAGTGGCATTTATTTATTATTTATTATTTGGGCATTATTATTATTATTTAGTAAATAAAATATATTATATTACATTATATATATGTTATATAATATAATATATATTATATTATATATATTATATAATTCTAAATATTATATAAAATATAATATATATATTATATTTAATATATATATTATATATATATTATATAAAATAATATATTATATTTTTAATATATATCACATATATTAATATATCATATAAAATAGTACAATATAAATTTTATTATATTACATAATATACATATTCTGAAAAAGGAAGGAGAAGCCACTGTTTTCAGCATCCAGGCATTCGCTTGGCTCAGGAAGCCGCTTCATGCTTCCTGGGCCACTAATCCACTAACAAAATTCGCAGAAGAGGAGAGAACTAGAAATCCCATGTCATCAAGGGCCGGAAGGATCTGGCAGGAGTCTGGGTGTTCCGAGTGGTGACCGCAGCATGCTGCCCGGGGTGGCAGGCTTCTGGACATTGGTGGAATGGAGGCACAAATATTGCTGCAGCATGGGGCCATGGATTGGAGTACAAAAAGTAAGGTAGCAGTTAGTATAAAAATTAGTCTAGGAAAAGAATGGCACTGGTTTGGAGTTGAAACGTCGACCCGCAGATACGGGGGCCCAATGGGTTTCCATATCCGCGGTTCAAAGGATTGCAGTTTCTGCCTCCAAGTTGTTTAATTCATTCCAGCTGGAATGGATGACGACCGCAATCATTTGCCCAGGAGCCGATATGACTCATTGTGAAAAATAATACAGTTTTTATAGGAAATACAGAGCTTACAGAGCCGGCTTCACGCTGATTGGCTGGAGTCATCAGCTGGCGGGGAGGCCCGGCTGGCCGAGCTGCACTCTAGCCAATCAGAGCGCTTTCCCCGCTTCAACCTCTCAGCCAATGAGGAGGCAGGAGGCCTGACAGGAGGGAAACAATGAATAGAAAATCATGCAGGGTCAGGGGGAAATCATGTCAGCCTCCCCCCTCCAAAGTTCCTCAAAAGGTCATAAAGTTGTGGAAAGTTGGAGAAAAATTGATATAAAGCCTCCAAAAGGTTCATAAAAGTCCATGGGACACATGGGAGTCAGAGGGAGCATGGAGGCGTTGGAGTCCATTCGCAGAAGAGGAGAGAACTAGAAATCCCATGTCATCAAGGACCGGAAGGACTTGGCAGGAGTCTGGGGTTCCCGAGGGGTGACCGCAGTAGGCTGCCCAGGGTGGCAGTCTTCTGGACATTGGTGGAAGGGAGGCACAAATATCTCTGCAGCATGGGGCCATGTGTTAGAGTGCAAAAAGTAAGATAGCAGTTAGTCTAATTTTAAGACTAGGAAAAGAATGGCACTGGTTTGGAGGTGATCCGTCGACCCGCAGATACGGGGCCCCAATGGGTTTCCATATCCGCGGTTCAGAGGATCGCAGCTTTGTCCTCCCCGAGACGCTGTAAGAGCGTCCCTGGTGAGTCAGCAGTGATCAGCGGCTCGGGAAAGGAAAGTTTCATGTTAGAGAGTGTTTGAGGCACTTCAGAATGTATCACTATGGAGAGGAAAGGTTACAAGCAAAGGATTATTTTATTGGGGTGATTGTTGCATTGGCAGGGTAAGTTCAGAAAGGAGGAAAAGAAAGGTGTTGAAGCTGCTGCTGGAACCACAGACCCTCGGTTCTTCACGCTGTCCAGATGTATGGAAACTGCGGAACTCCCTGCAGCAGTTGAGATCAACCTGAAGGCTTGGGGATTCAGCCTCACAGGGAGACAGAGGATGTTTCTCCCTCTGAAGGGCATCGGATGGGTTCATGGGGCATCAACTGGTTCCAAGGACCATTGGCCATGTCTGCCCCACCTTTAGGTGTGGGCAGTCTAAAAAGCTGTCAAAGTGTATAAAATATCTCGTAATTTCCCGCAATTTTCCTGTCCGAACGTATTCTCCCCTATGAACCATCAAGATTGCTAAGATCGTCTGGAGGGGCCCTGCTCTCGATCCCACCGGCCTCACAGGCGTGTCTGGTGGGGACGAGAGACAGGGCCTTCTCGGTGGTGGCCCCTCGACTCTGGAACTCCCTTCCACTGGAGATCAGAACTGCCCCTTCTATCTTAACATTCAGGAAACAGGTGAAAATTTGGCTTTGGGGATTGGCATTCGACGAATGAGCCATGATCCTGTGATATGGATGGATGACGACGAATAATGATTTTTGATGACGACTGACCACTGTAATTATATGATTGTATTTTGCTATTTTAATGTTTTAGTGTGATTTAGAATATGATGTTTTAATGACTGTCTGTAATATTGATGTTGGAAACCGGCCTGAGTCCCTCAAACGGAGGTGAGAAGAAGACCGGGATACAAAACTGCTAAATGTTGTTCATTCGTTCAGTCGTCTCCGACTCTTCGTGACCTCATGGACCAGCCCACGCCAGAGCTCCCTGTCGGCCGTCACCACCCCCAGCTCCTTCAAGGTCAGTGCAGTCACTTCAAGGATGCCATCCATCCATCTTGCCCTTGGTCGGCCCCTCTTCCTTTTGCCTTCCACTTTCCCCAGCATAATTGTCTTCTCTAGGCTTTCTGTCTCCTCAAATTTCTCTGGGAAGGTGTGCTTTGTGTACATTTTGGAGTGGAGACTCGGTCCTTGCATTCCTTTTGGGCCAAACTGTAATCAACCTCTGCTGTTTAAACCCGGAGTGCTTTGTTCTCTGTCCTGGCCAATCGGGTTTGGCGGAACCTCACCGGGCACGGCCCCGCTATCCGCGGTCTCTGTTGACATCCCCACCGTTTCCCCCCTCCCACTGTGCCTCCCGGCTGCTGCCTGAGCCAGATGTGTGGGGTGTTTGGGTGACCCCCACTCAGGGTCCAGGGAACCCATGGGAGAGTGTGTTGCCCCCCTCCCTCCCTCCCCATGTCCTGAGGGAAGTCTGCCTGCCCCCCTGCCCTCCCTGGGCTGCTGTGGGGAGGGGGCCCCTTGTGACACACCTGGTTGCCCTGGCAATAAGCCCACCTTCTGTTGGCATGGAGATGCTACCTGGTGGCCATGGGGTGGGCAAGGGCTCTGCTCACAGGTGTCCCAAGGAGTCCTCCCGGTGGGAAGGTAGGGGGGGCAGCGAAGAAGGGAGGTTGTATCCCCCCCTCCCCATCCCCTTTCCCCTTCCCCATACCCATCCCTTTGCCTTTCCCTGACCCCATCCCCTTCCCCATCTCCTTCCTCTCCTTCATCTCCTCCTTCTTCCTCTTCTTCTCCTTCTCCTCCTTTATTTGTTTGTCTGTTTGTGTGTTTGTTTATTTACTCTCAGTCTGCTGGCGCCTCATGGCAGTCCGTGGGCAATCTCATCTCCATCTCCATCTCCATCCTCCTCTTCCTCTTTTGCATCTCCTTCATCTCCTTCATCTCCTCCTTCTTCCTCTTCTTCGCCTTATCCTCCTTTATTTGTTTGTTTGTTAGTTTATTTATTTACTCTCAGTCTGCTGGCGCCTCATGGCAGTCCGTGGGCAATCTCATCTCCATCTCCATCCTCCACTTCCTCTTCTGCATCTCCTTCATCTCCTCCTCCTTCTTCCTCTTCTTCTCCTTCTCCTCCTTTGTTTCTTTGTTTGTTTGTTTGTATGTTTGTTTGTTTACTCTCAGTCTGCTGGCGCCTCATGGCAGTCCGTGGGCAATCTCATCTCCA